TCTTGATATAACCTTGGATAAATTTTGAGGTGGGCCTGTCAAGCAATCTTGGCTGAGATCTTTGGTCGAGGACCCTAAAGGCTGAGTTGAATGTTGTATTAGAGATAAAATCTCATATTTAATAGCTAAAAATCATAATATTAAATAGTCACCTTATAAAATCTCAAGATTTTCGGGACTCATAGACCCATAGGCAATCGAATTACACTATGAACTCTAACCTTAGGTCAAAGAGGACAAATTACACTTTTTGAATGATCTAGCTCGTGACTTATCTAAAAAATCCTAGACATCTTTTAGACCGGAAGAGTAAGCATTACTAAAATATCAAATTTTATAAAATAAAGAAATAAAAGATCTAACCCGCCTATATTATTAGCATTTACTGACGCTAACACTATGTGAGCAATCGATAAGTATTGTATCATATGTATATATTACTTTTGGTTGTTTCCTTGATAGAGATCATTTCTAACTTAAATTATGTATTGGCAACCTTAATAAAACAAGGACCGTTCAATTCAATTATATCCCCTATGCACTGGCAACCTCATATCAACGTGGTCATCTCAATTTGGCTGCCCTTTTGTGCGTATTTTGTATTGAACAATTAATCACTAACTATGTTCTGTTGAAGTGAAAATAGACTATATCTCCAGGTAATGTTGGAAATTCAAATTCTGACGTTTTTACCTAAAGAAGAATTTTACCCAACCATCACTTTCAACTCAAGGGTCAGTCTCACAGTTATGTCTATCAAGATATTTGATCATGTACCAAAATAGAAAGAATCATGCTTTTAATTTGTCTCAATTTATTATATTTATACTTAACTCTATATTTTGGTACATGATCAAATATCTTGATAGACATAACTGTGAGACTGACCCTTGAGTTGAAAGTGATGGTTGGGTAAAATTCTTCTTTAGGTAAAAACGTCAGAATTTGAATTTCCAACATTACCTGGAGATATAGTCTATTTTCACTTCAACAAAACACAGTTAGTGATTAATTGTTCAATACAAAATACGCACAAAAGGGCAGCCAAATTGAGATGACCACGTTGATATGAGGTTGCCAGTGCATAGGGGATATAATTGAATTGAACGGTCCTTGTTTTATTAAGGTTGCCAATACATAATTTAAGTTAGAAATTATGTCTATCAAGGAAACAGCCAAAAGTAATAGTCATATACATATGATACAATACTTATCGATTGCTCACATAGTGTTAGCGTCGGTAAATGCTAATAATATAGGCGGGTTAGATCTTTTATTTCTTTATTTTTGTAAAATTTGATATTTTAGTAATGCTTACTCTTCGAGTTTAGAAGATGTCTAGGATTTTTTAGATAAGTTACCAGAGCTAGATCATTCAAAAAGTGTAATTTGTCCTTTGTCTAGGATTTTTTAGATAAAGTCACCAGAGCTAGATGATTTAAAAAGTGTAATTTGTCCTCTTTGACCTAAGATTAGAGTTTTTATAGTTACTTGCCCATGAGTCTATGGGCCCTGAAAATCTTGAGATTTTATAAGCTGACTATTTAATATTATGATTTTTGCCTATTAAAGATGAGATTTTATATCTAGTACAACACTCAGCTCAACCTTTGGAGTCTTCGACCAAAGATCTCGGCCAAGACTGCTTGACAGGCCCACCTCAAAATTTATCCAGGATGGTATACTTGTCCTCCAACCCTAAGCCTAGAAGGTGAATGGGTTAGAGGGGAAGCCTACACATCAATACTTTAAAGAAAGTATAAGTGCTAACACTCAAATCGACAATTTCCTCTCGGTAATGCACTCTTGATATAACCATATTGGATCATATTCGAGAAAGTACAGTTGTCCATCAGCCCTAAGCCTAGAAGACGTAGGGGCTAAAGTGCTTAAAAATGTTTAGGTCGGCTATTCATCGGGCTCTTTAGTGGGTGTCTTTTTGTATTTTAATGCAAAATGACACATTTAGTGTCGCGCTGCTTTATTACAAAAGGAATTGACCTTTGTGACATGTGGCATAAAGTCTTCCTATAAATGAAAAGTGGGCCCCCCAAAAATGTCAATTGGCGCATAGTTTCACACACGACTTTCCCCTTACTGTTGCTAACCCCTCAGTATGTCTCTTGATTTCTATAAATACCAAAAATTGGGCATTTTGTGTAGGTGCTCTTTCTCTTACACTTTCGTGTGTCTTCTTCTCTGGTGAGCATTATCGTTCTTCTTCACCCTTTGTTGTAGTAGTTCTGTAATGGTTTTGCAGTGAGTTTGAGTAGAGAAAAATGTATTTACTTTGAGGTTCCTCTTAGGTATGCCCCTTTAACCTTCTGTATCTTGCCATCTTTCATTCCCCTTTGGTCATTAGGGTGCTTAGGTTTTCTTTAAAAATGGTTTCCTTAAGTTACGGAGAAATATATAAATGGGTGAAAGACGATGTTTTGAAATGTGATTTTACCCTAAGCTCTTGGCTTGCCATAGAGAGCTTTAGTAGAGAACATGTTGTTTCCTATGATGGATATGTGCTCTGGTCTGCAAGATATCTAGGGTTTTCTAGATGAATCACCATATTTAGAGCATTCAAAAGGTGTAATCTATCTTATTTTAACTAAGGTTAGAGTTTTTATAATTACTTGCCCATGGGTTTATGGGCCTCAAAAATCTTGGGATTCTATAAGGTGACTATTTAATATTATGATCTTTGGCTATCACAAATATTAACAAAAGTGTTTCAACGGAAATCTCAACAAAGACTACAACTTTTATGAAGACAACAAAGGCTAATTCGGAAAACACCAAATTGCTCAGCATTTTCCAAAGCACTCAACGCTTTGCCTCCAATGATCCCTCTTGTCACATGGCCCCCAAAGGGCTTAGTCCTTTCAAACGGCTTAGCCCTTTGGTTCTAGAGATTCCCCCTATCATGCAGCCTTCAAAGGACCCAGTCCTTTCAAACGATTCAACCCTTTGCCTATAAAAGACATCCTTGTTCTTTATCATTTTTGGACTCTACACCTGAAACTCAGAAAAATTCAACATTCAATTGAAGAAATAACACTCATGCACTAAATAGCTCAATTCAAGTACCAGAAACAACATGTAAACATGAGTTTTCCCTAAGATCATCAATTCACCTCACATGCAACAAAACCTCAAAACCCCCAATATTCAACATGCAAGACCTTGAATCCATCCCCACATGACTGCGGATTTCATAGATTTTATCAACAATAAACTTTTAATTCATTAAATAGTTCAAAGATTCAACCAAAAATCTAATGTTCTAACTTCCCTTACCTTAATTCCGAGTTCCTCGAAATTAATGTGTCTTAACTTGTGTTTCCATGACGTGAATTTGACACAACTATACTATGATTATTAAAGTCCTATTTTGGTAAACATACCAATTCAAGAAGATCCTTTAGAGGGTCTTTGCTAGTCTTCAATTCAACAACTACAAATTGAACATTACTAAGTTTTAACTAATTAATCACTAAGTGGACAATAGTGTTTGATCTGAGAATTTCAAGCCAACATGCTATTAACTCTATGTTTGATAGTCATGACGACCTCACCCCCTATTTATCATTTTACTCATAAAATAAAATAAAAATAGTATGTTCACTACTAAAAAAGTGTCATTTTCTTGCAAATTTTCCTACAAAAAAATATTTGCAGAAATTTTTGTGAATTTTCTTTCAATAATAATTTCACAATTTGTTTTTACGAATTTACATATATTTCTTACAATTCTTTTATGAAAATAATCTACAAGAAATTATTGCAAATTTTGTTACAATTTTAATGATCATAGAAATTTTTTTCCATGGTAAAAATTTACAGAAAATATTGTAAGAATTTTATTTTGTTTCTTGGAGATTTTCTTGCAAAAATAAATTCGCAAATAATGTTTACTAAATGATAGAAAAATTTTGCAAGTAATTTTTCTTGTAGATTTTCCTGCCAATTTTTTAATCCACAAGAAAAATCAAAAAAATATTTAAATTTATAAGTTTAATATTTTAAAAAAACAAAGTCTCACATCGATTGAAAATAAAATAATTAAAGAGTATATAAGTTGGAACAACACTTACCTTACAAGTTGATTTCTATGATTTGAGTGTTAGGCTTATAATCTACAATCTAAGAGTTTAAAAGATTATGTATCACATGTTAGAGGCGTGGAAACAAATGTTTCAGATGAATTCATTGTGAGCATTTGAAAGTTGAAGAATTATTGATAGAATTTGCAATAAATTCTTTGATTTTTTTCGTAAAAAATTTTGCAAGAATTTTTTTTGCAAATTTAAAAATTCACAGAAACATATTATTTACGAAAGTATTACCTGCAGATAAAATTTTGCAGAAAATTTTGTAAAAAAAATGTTGTAAAGTTTAATACAAAATTCGCATGAAAAGTCGCATATAATAAGAAAAATTCTAGTAGTGGTTGTTAATGTATTAAGTTTCCAATGTAATATTAATTTTTGATAAAAGAATATAATATTAATATTTGTTTTTCATCTATATCCTTAACAATATTTTTAAAAAGTTATTATTGTATTACGTGGTTTCTAAAAAAAAAAAAAGAAGCAAGATAAAATTCATAAAATGATTATTATCTTTCATCTTTTTATTAAAATTTTTCTATTTGTGTAAAATAATTTAATGTGTACTTTATCATGTGACGTATGATTTTTTATTAGTGAATGACGCAATAATATTTAGAGCGATATCGGATAGAAATTAAAGTAAAAAAAAAAAGGTGGGATAAAATTACAGTACCTAACTTTTAAAAATTACTAAATGAATAGGTGAAAAGAATTAAGTGAAGACGATGGGAGAGGGCACGGTCACGTGGAAACAAATGAATTTACTGTACGAAAGGGCGTGTTGATCTTCAGTCTTCATTATGATTCGTTTCCAACTTTCAACAACCTCATTTACACTCCCAACTTGCAACTCCTCTCTTGCCTATAAAATTATCAACTTGGTTCTTATGCCCACCCTCACTAATCAAACTTTTCCGTATGCCATTTTTCAATCTTTGTTTCTATACCAACAAGTCCACAACAGCAGCCAGGTACCCATTTCACAACTATGTTCGTACACCCTCTCACGCCAACCTTTGAACCTATCACACTGCCATGTTTCTTATGCCCTTACATCCTCCAATTAACATTGCTTTTTTATTTTTATCTTAAACTCGCTATTAAGAACTTTAATATAATTAGTTGTTCAAACAACTCATATTTTGACTTTCCTATCCTTCTTCTCCCTTTTAGATTTTTTTTTTTAATGTTATAGTATGATTATTATGTTCGTCAAAATCACTATAATAACCTTCTCCTTGCGCTCCCGGGGACTGGGAACCATGCTTCCAAAGCGTTTGTCTATTTACATGACATGTAAAACTACAATGTTGCCTTATTCTATGCGAGTGGGCCACGTGTTCATAGCCTCATCCAAACTGCAGCGAATAGTTAATAAAAACTTAATTGAATTCACGTAAAGATTCGTTGAACCAATGAATAAGTGATGGTTTTGGGCCACGTAATGTGACAAGTCGTACTTTATTTGTGTCACTTTTATTTTGAGCAAAATAAAATGATGAAACTAAAGAAAAAACTTTGGTTGGACTTTCATTATAGACACGATAGTTGGATGGTTTAATTACACCACACCAAAGTGAAGTAAGTTGACGGAAATTGTTGGGAGTAATTAGTGCTCGTTTTCCTCGCAACTTGCAAGTACGTTTTTTCTTGGTGGCTGATGCTTGCGTTGAGTCTTGTAACTTTATTCAGGTTTCATAACTAAGGAGAATGAAGTCCTTTTCAGTTAAGGTTGAAGAAGGAAGGGAAGGTAAAAATGGCACCCTTTCTGTTGGCCCTGTATATCGTAACCTCCTTGCCAAAAATGGTTTTCCTCCGATGGATCCTGATTTCAGTACCCCTTGGGATATTTTCAGGTAATTCATTTCAGTTCAGCAGTAGCTTCTAGCTAGCACATTATAATGATATCATCTATGTTCTTTACCCATATAATACAAAGGTGGGGTTTGTTAAAAGTTAATATAGAAAAAGTTGAAAGTTCAGTGGTTGATCAACGAATGATATTTGATGATTGCAGTGTGTCTGTCAAAAATCATCCGAATAACCGGATGCTGGGAAGGCGTCCTATTGTCGATGGAAAGGTATGTTATGAAGGTAATTTATTTTGTTATAGGACATGATATGTGTTTTAAGTAATTAGTTTTTGGTTCATGTTCATAGATTGGACCCTACGTGTGGAAGACATATAAGGAAGTTTATGATGAAGTTCTGCATATGAGTTCTGCTTTACGAGCATCTGGTGCAGAACCTGTAAGGGATTCCCTCATAATTTATATGTAAATTAGTAGTTTTCAAAGGGAATTTTCTTGATGTCTAATTTGGTTACCGGTTATCCTATCACAGGGAACTAAAATTGGAATTTATGGAGCTAATTGCCCTCAATGGATTGTGGCAATGGAGGTTTCACACTTCTATAACCCTTGTGTTCTCAAGTTTTCTCTCTTCTATAATGCTACCATATCATAATTCATTATCATGTTTATGTTTCCGTAGGCTTGTTCTGCTCAAAGCTTTGTTTGTGTGCCTCTCTATGACACCCTTGGTAAGTTTTCTCTTAAATGAAAGTTTTAATTAAATAAATACACGGTATCCCGGCTTCTATCTCTCTCATCTTTATTGTTCTGCGATTAAGAGTCAGCCAAAATAATGATCCTAATTAATGACAATCTTCGGACATTGTTCATTTTACATCTCTAATTAAACAGCTATTGTGCTCATTAGTGTGAAAATATTTAATTAGTTTTCTCTCTGGTCTAAACAAAAAAAGCAACATTAAAAAATTTTCAAGTTTTTTTAATGCAGGGCCTGGTGCCGTAAATTTTATCATAGATCATGCAGAAGTAGATTTTGTTTTCGTCCAAGATAAGAAGGTTAAAGAGGTAAGAAACAAGGATAACATTTTTAGACAATTAATGTTGTGCTCTAGAAAATTTATATATGAGATATTTTCAGAGCCACAGTTTATAGGTTCTTACTGAGTGCATACACCTTTAACCGTTTGCAGGTTTTAAATCCTGATTGTAAATCCTCAAAGCGACTGAAAGGTAAATTTACGTGTCTCAGTTCCAATATCTTTGTGCTAGAGCTAGCAGAAGGATTAAAAGAACTAAAATTAAACTGAATTTGATTATGGTTACAGCCATGGTGTGCTTCACTACATTAACAGAGGAACAGAAAAATGGGGCTGACGCAATTGGAATTAAGCCATATTCGTGGGATGACTTCTTGCACTTGGTTAGTACGTAGTGAATTGGTTATTTAGTTGCTTGCACGTCTTTTATTTTTATGATGAAATTCTGGAATTTGGTTTGTTTTAAAGGTTGGATGCTCCACTTTTCTAAAAAGTTGTCCACAGAAAAAATGGGTTACTTTTTTTTTTTTTTTTCCTTGTGTTATCCATGTGCACCTCTTTAAATGATTTTGGTCTTTTATGAAATAAACGTAACCCAAGATTGCAGAAACATTCCTAAGAATATAACATTTTATCAGAATTTCCGGGTATTGAGTTTTTGTTATGTCATGTGATTCCTCGTACTTATATTATATGCTGTGGTTAATTGATACCAACAAGTAATTATGTTTCAGGGAAAAGAAAACCCAAAAAGTATTTTTCCACCTCGTGCTAGTGACATGTGCACAATAATGTATACTAGTGGGACAAGTGGAGACCCTAAAGGTGTTGTTTTAACTCATGAGAACGTATCGGCTTTGGTAAGAGGAATGGATCTTTTCATGGAACAATTTGAAGACAAGGTAAATTTCATGCTGGCAAATTATTTATTATAATATAAGTTTTCTCATATCAAAGGACAAAGGTGACATTAACATTAATTTGCAAATATAGATGACTGTGGATGATGTGTATTTGTCATTCCTACCCTTGGCTCATATCCTAGACCGCACTATTGAGGAGTACTTTTTCCGTAAGGGTGCATCTGTTGGCTACTATCATGGGGTAGGTTTGTTCAACAATTTCTTGTTAATTTGGAGTGGTATGTTAATGGAAGTCCCTTAAAACAAGTACAAAACTAGAGATTCCACAATTAGGGATGGGCAAAACGAACTGAACTGAACTTATAAAAACTATATTGAACTTAAAAGTAGTTCATATATGAACTGAACTAAACTAAATATTAGTTCAGATTAACTGAACTGAACTATTCTTTTGTGTCATTAAACTGAACTGAACTATACTATAAAAACTTGAATTGAACTATAATTTAAACTGCACTAAACTGTTATAATATTTTGAATTGAACAATTTTGACTCATTGATCTATCAAAATAGGACACATTTACCAACTTTACTTTATTTTTCATTTTATTTAAAATTTTCAAAGGAAAAAAATATAAAATTAAGTCAAACAAACTCAGTAAATTTTAAGCCTAAAAATAAGTAGTTCAACATAGCTCAATTGATCCGTTAAGTTCGACAAAATTGATACAATTTTTTTTAGATCACTTTTTTTCTAAAGTTTTGGTTATTAGACTATCGAGCTAATCCATTAAGACATAACATGTTAAACACATTTAATTTTTATTCTTTTATAAAAATAGTTTAATTTTTATAATTCAGTTCAGTTTTTATAGTTCAGTACAGTTCAACTTTACAATAGTTCAGTTCAGTTTAGTTTTTTTTAAACAGTTCAATTCAATTTTTTTACAAACAGTTTAATTTTTTATAGTACAGTTCACCACTAGTTCAGTTCAGTTCAGTTTAGTTTTTTTTGCCCACCCCTATCCAGAATACATACCCTTGTTTTGTTTATTATTGGATGCTTCATTCTTCATGAATATTCTATTTGTTTTTTTTTTCCCGAATTATTTGCGTGAAGGATTTGAACGCGTTGAGGGATGACTTAATGGAATTAAAGCCGACACTGTTTGCTGGTGTCCCACGGGTTTTTGAAAAGGTCTACGATGGTAAGTATACTGTATACACCTCATCAAAAAAATTATTGCTAGTTGAATGAAAAATGTTATTATTCTTACCTAACACATTTTTGTAACATGTTTTTTTAGTCGAATAAGTTTATCAAAATTATAAATTTCCGACTCTAAATCTTATTTAATAATTTTCATTCTTAATTTTATAATTTCTAGTAAATTTTAACTAATATTTTCTCAGATTTGTTTTGAAGATCTAACCACCTAATTTATTAAGAATAAGAAAGTTGTTAAATTTAGTAGATAATGTTAAATTTGTTATAAATTCTCTTTTTTTCCTCAAACTATTCTTAACATTAACGAGATATTGAATCAAGAGAAATACATTAATTAAGAATAATTTTTGTCAACATAATAATTAATAAAGAAACGTAGATTGTTTCTAATACAAAAAGATCAAACTAACACTTCAAATTAAGGTCATATATAAAAAGAACAAGGAGGAGTAATAAAAATGTACGTTAGAAATGCAATTGTGTTACTAGAGTGTTGTCAACACTCGTGACTCGTGAGTCTCCTCATGTTTGATTTATTTCAGTATAACTGATTCAAAGAATATGTTTCAGGTATCAAGAAAGCAGTGGACGAACTCAATCCATTTAGGAGAACAGTTTTCGGCATGCTCTACAACTAGTAAGTTGGAATTCTGTAACTTACATTTATCTGTAATATTTTGGAATGAGTAGAAGTATTTTTTCTTTATTAAGATCACGGATTTTGGGCTGAGGTAGTTTTGCTAATGAGTAATGGTATATGTGCAGGCACTATTTTTTTTTTTTTTTAATCTTTTTCTATATCATTACTAAATATTACAATGGAGATACACAAAATATGATGATGTATAAATTGTTGTATAAGTATCATTTTTTTTCTTTGCTAATTCACAATTTTTTTTAATACAGCAAACTTGGTTGGATGAAAAAAGGATATAAGCATAGAGAAGCATCACGTGTAGCCGATCTATTAGCCTTCAGAAAGGTAGTATGATATATCTCTTACTCAAAACTTGTATTTTTGTTTTCTCTTAAACGTCAATTTCTCAATTTTTTTATTTTATGTATTTTTCTTGAAATTAGACTTGTCTTACATATATGGGTAAAACCTTCTCCAAATTCCAACCTCCTCGTGTCCCTACCTCTCCATTTTAGGTCAAAGCTAGGCTTGGTGGTCGTGTTCGACTTATAATATCTGGAGGGGCAGCTTTGAGCCCTGAGATTGAAGAGTTCTTGCGTGTCACTACATGTGCCTTTGTGTGCCAAGGCTATGGTAAGGACATATCCTATTATACCATAAATATTAACAACACACTTATTAGACAAAATTCATGTGAATTTCAATAAATACAAGTCTCATTTTTAATTTAGCATCTCTTATTTTTAAACTAGTGAAGTTTATACAAATTTCAACCAATAAAGGGAATTTATTGGAAAAGTGAGTTACTAGTCTATTACTACTATTTATAGATAAGACTAAATAATTAGAAAATTTAACACTGTTCTGTTAGTATTGGAACATAACACAACATAATGTTACATGCATTGACACTGGATAATCCAGGTTTGACTGAAACATGTGGATCAACTACTCTTGGCTATCCTGATGAGATGTGCATGCTTGGTACTGTTGGAGCTGTATCTGTATATAATGAAATAATGCTGGAGGAGGTTCCTGAAATGGGCTACAATCCTCTTGAAAGTCCTCCATGTGGTGAAATATGTGTGAGAGGGAAAACTGTTTTCACTGGTTACTACAAAAATCCTGAGTTAACAAAGGAAGCTATTAGAGATGGATGGTTTCACACTGGTAATTAATTGAGTTCTCATTTCCTGCCACAAAATGAATATGGTTTTAGGAATATTTATATGATCTAATGTGATTGTCTGGTATCCTCAGGGGACATAGGAGAAATTCTTCCTAATGGTGTTATTAAGATAATTGACAGGAAGAAGAATCTTGTTAAACTTTCCCAAGGAGAGTATATAGCACTTGAGCATCTAGAAAATGTCTATGGAATCACTCCCATAGTTGAAGATGTAAGTATTTTCTAATGATCAGCACTGTTAATAGGTACACTTTTTAGTACATAGACAATGGAGTTTTGGTAAGTTTGTGATTCATTTTATGTTTGTTCTATTGCAAGATATGGGTTTATGGGAATAGCTTCAAGTCAATGCTGGTTGCAGTGGTAGTTCCTAATGAAGAAATTGCCAATAAGTGGGCATATGCAAATGGTCACATATCTTCTTTCTCCAAACTCTGCTCTCTTGACCAACTCAAGAAATACGTGCTATCTGAGCTCAAGTTGACAGCTGAGAGAAATAAGGTAATATCTACGGATAATGAAATGATAATTGCTTTAGGTATGGTAAAAGAAGCATAAAATTATTTAACTTTTTTTTTTTTGGAAAGATTCATAAACTATGAATGAATCATGGATGGTAACATAACAGCGAACTAAAAGATTTTAGAGTTGCAATCATATAAGATTCTGGTATATGATTCTCTAATTAATTGTCTCTTTCCTCTTCAATTTTTGTCCTTTAGCTAAGGGGCTTTGAACATATAAAGGGAGTGATATTAGACCCGCATCCATTTGACATGGAAAGAGACTTGGTGACAGCAACACTGAAGAAGAAAAGAAACAAACTGCTCAAGTATTTTCAGGTAATCACATGCGCATATCCTCTTACTTTTGTCCTTATTCTTATTGTGGTATATTTAAAAAGTCATGTACACTAGAAGTAGAAGTACTCACAAAATTGTTGACATTGTCACAGGTGGAAATTGATGAAGTATACCAAAGTTTGAGTGGGGATAAGCATAAAATTTGAGGTTTCTAGACGCGGATGGATATGGCTATTTAGTAGCATAAAATTTAAGTGTGCAGCAAGTAGCAAGTGCTGAACTATAATATTACCTAATTTTCAAAGGGTGTACGGGAACAACCCATTTCGCGTGGAGAAAGTATATCTGTTATCAATCCACATACGCCCGGGCCACGCTACATGCATGTTTGAATGTTTGTATACGTATAACATCATCATAAATACACGTAGTGTCAACCAGAGGATAGAGATTCTACCAAAAATCCAAAACTTGAATCAAATCAAATGAACAAATTAGATAATGGATTAGTTGTATAAAACTAAAAAAAATGTTTTCTAGAAAATAATTTTTTAAGAAATAAATAGGAAATAATTCATAAAAAAGTGAAAAACTATTTTTTTTAAAAAAATAATTTACAAACATAAAAAGAGTAGAAAATTGTCTATTTTATTAAAAAATAAACGTTTTTTTAAGAAAAATAATAAAACAAATAGATTCATTAATGAGACCAAATAATAATTTCGGGACTTAGGATAAATAGCCCAAAAGTTTGGTAAAATTAAAATGTTATGTTCTATTATTCGAATTGCTGTCATAATGTAGTGCTTATATTTTCTGAACACACTAGTTTCTGATTTTATATAAGAAATAATTAATTAATTCATTAATAATAATAAAATTAGTTAAATTAATTAATTTTAATATATAATATTAAATTTTAAAATTTTATTTTAAAAATACTCATAGAATTAAATAAAAATAATTTTGGTATAGTTATATTTAATGATATTATTCATCTTTTAAAGACTACTTTCTTAGCAAATGAGAATGCTTTATGTCGTTAATAATCCAATAAATAGATTTACATTTATTTAAAAAAGTAATATTTTATTAATAGACTAAACAATAAATTAAAAATATATAATAAAATTAACAATTAATATACGTGAAATATATTTCATGTAAATTAAGAAAATTAGTTAATATTATTCAGACTTCACTCTTCTAAAGCGAAGAGATGCACTCCAGTGAAAAAATTATAACAATGACAATGTAGATTGGATAGTTTTTACTTCAATTAAAAAAATTATTTAATATCATTTAATTACATTAATAGATTTAAAAATGACCTCCTTTTTCTAAATTATTCTTTCTTAAAATTTGATATTAAAATTATCCTATTTTCCTAAAAATGAGCTAATCATTTTTTCTTAATATGGAAATACACAATTAAACTTTGGGAAACATCCATTCATTTTTACACATTTTAGTGTATGTTTTGCATATAGAGATAAAAAAATGAAAACGAAAAAACTAAAATATAAATATTAATTTTCACCCTTTTTTAGACAAATTAGAAAAAATTTAAATAAAAAAATTCACTTAAGTTGGAGTGAAATGAGAAATTACGCTTGTTTTTAATTTTTTTGAGAACTAAATCTCATGGTATAAAAACTCTTAAAAAAAACTTGTTAAACAGATTAATAAGGTTTTAATTCTAAGGTTGGTGTACTGGCGCATGTTGCATGTTGCGGTTACCGCAGTCGGGGGTCACAAATTTGGATTCAAAATGTTATGTGATTGACGGGAAGATGGAAGGAGATGTCGCGTACCAGAAAGAGGCCAATGTCGCAGGGTAGCATTCATCTCTTTCTTACTTCCTTTTTTATTTCTTTCTCTTTATTTGCATTCTAATCCAAACAAAACATTAATATTTCATGCATTAGTTTACTTTGGCAAAAAAAAAAAAGCTTAATTACAGTTTTGATCCCTCAAGTATTATAATTGTGTAATTTTGATCTTTAAGATTTTAATTGAGTAATTTTAGTCCTTAAAAAATTGAAATTGTGTAATTTTAGTCCCTCAAATATCATAATTGTGCAATTTTAATCTCTCCTATTAAAAATTTAATAATTTAAAATTTTTAATATATATATATATAATATTTTAAAATTATATAATTATTTGCTTATTTAAGTTAACGCATATCATAATTTTTGTTAATGTAGCAAATAATATATATTTATTATTACTAAATAAATAAAATTTATATATATTAATATTTTA